CATGATATAAACAGATTTATAATCTATCTACAACAATCATCATCATTTATACACAAAGAACTGAAAATAGAAAATATTTCTCAGATTATACCACATACACATACACATAGATATATCTGAATTGTAATTGACTCATAAACTAAAATCTCAATTTGCATAATAAATACATTTTTTGAAAATCATAAAACGATTTTCACACATTGTTGCTTTTTGCTTGACATGTGAACCATCCGCTGACCTGTCGATTACCATGTCTATCAGGCTTAGAAATGAACAAGCGTTTCAATGGTATGAACGTTTCGTACAGACGATGGTTGTCGAATAAACCTCCACTGTTCCATATTGAAACTTCTAGTTGCTTCGATTCAAGTACGTGTGGAAACTCCATGCTCATGTCGTAGAGAAGCTGAATGTAGTGAAGTAAGTGATTGAGTCTGAATCTTTACAACTTCTTCATTAAATGTTGGATTGAGAGTTCCTTTAGAAATGCCTGTCTTTCTTTTTGTGCTAGCCTTATCCACATCCGATGTTATATATGTTTTAACATACGTATCAGGCAACCCGCCAACACCATTAGTCGACAAATATTTAACATGGCCTGTACATTGCGAGTTTTCTACAGTAATCCGAGAACAAAACTTTACCGACAAAAACGCTGAGCTGATGAGTCTGATTCAGGAATTTGATTGTCAAATTGATTTGACATTCCTGACGTCCAGAGCTTGATTGCACGTTATCTGAAAGAAGTTAAGTAAATAATTATGTCAACTAGTATTCTGACCATTTCTCTGAACATTATCTCTGTGCAGATTATGGAAAAACGTGTACACTATGTTACTCTAAAGAAGAAGTGATTGAGGTTATATGAGTACGTAATAAAGCTTACGTGAGATATTTCTTCGTCTAATGAGTATAGATTCTGCAAGAACGTTTGAAGCATTATTTTCCTTTGGAAAGCAACTTCTTTGGTATTTGTTCTCATGGCTGAACTACCACTCAAGTTGTAAAACCTTACAGTTGGAAATCTGAATAACTAATGTATTCAGAAATTTCATCCCAAACTAACAGCTGACGCAATTTACTATGAAACTCTTGAAACTCGTTAAAGGTTCTATACACAACACTTGAAATGCTTTCATTCTCTCTGGTCACCATCAGCTTGTACAACTGAAAGAAACAAAAATATATTTTGAAATGCTTTCGTACAGCT